GGACGGGCCAGGCAGGGGGCCACTCTTTGGGAGAGTCATCAGCCTTTAATTAAAATCCCTCAATTGCTTCCCCAGCTGCTCTGTGGGTTTTCCATGTTGGAATGTTCCAGATGGGGCGAGAAGTGCTGATTCAATTACTCTTTTCCTGTTCCACCCAGTGGAGGTCGCCCCCCCTCCCCACCCCACGGACCTCTTCTCTACAACTCCTGCCTCAGCCAGCCGAGGGGGGATGGGGGAGAGTCCAGGAAGGAGTTAGGAGGATCCTGGAAGGAAGCTGCCCCTACCCAGGGAGTATTAGGGGCCCGCTGGTCAGCTGGTGGCCTGGGATCCCTGGGATCCTTCCTTCCTGCCCCCTGGGATGTGCAGGTCAGGCGGGTCCAGGTGATTGCAATGGGCTTCAACGTGTGTTAGGCCAGGTGGTCGAGAGAAACAAATCCAATGACACTCCTGTGTCTAAGAATGGGCTCTCTATCAAGAAGGCTCCCCAGCCCAGGCCAATCCTAGTCCATACCTCCGATGTTAGTCCATAAGTCCCTCCTCAGGATCAGGCAGCCACATGCCAGGGGCACAGAAGTGGTGAGTCGAGAGGCAGGAGGATCACCGGCTGATGGGTGCAGAGTCTTGTGGATCCGAAGTTGGTGGCGATATGTCAGGGTGCTGGCGGCTCTCCGGGTCAGTATCAGAGTCCCAGAGAGCAGGAAGGCGAAAGGGCAGAGTGAGAAATGTCATCTCTGTTCACCTGGCTCTTCTACAAAAGGGTTATGACAGAAAGGAGGTGTCATTGTGGTTTAATTCCACCTCTAGTCAGGAGTATCCAGTTGACATAATTCCTAACGACCCAATGGGAGACCCCTCAGCAGATCCCACATCTCGCCTTGCACCCTCCCACTGGGTCCCACTGGAGACTGGACTGGGGTGGGCTGGGGCCCACCCTCATTGCCCCAAAGTGGATTCTTGTCTTTTTGTACATTTGTTGCCATCATCATTCTAAAAATATTTGCTTTCTACTTGAGCCCTTGGTATCAGCTCCTCATTTTGGATTCTTGTCTTGATGTGGAGAAGGGACCCAGAGGGCCTGGTGGCTCACCCCCATTCCACCTACAAAGCCGGTCCCCATTTGTCCAGTTCCAGGCAGTCAGGGGCGGGGCGTCTCCATCTGATGGGGTGGGGGTGGGGGGCAGGTGGTGGGAGGACAGATAACCACCAAGTAACCAAAAACACAAGCAAGGAGCCCCCAGCGGCTAAAGTGGTTTACCATGAGCTGCTTGCCAGGTGTGGACCACCCAGCTGTACTGTGGAGGAAAGGCCTGGTGATCTGATCCCGGAAGGATCACAGCCAAGAACCCCTCCCCCCGTGGAGCTCAGTGCTACTGTGGCACGTGGTGGGAGGGTGGGGGGTGGGGGGCTATCACAGGTCGGCATTAACTGGAAAACCCAAACACAGACAGAAGCTATGGATTATAGCAACCTCATGCTCCTGGCGGGAGATAGACGAGGGGAGGTGCCGGGACCGAGAGGCAGATGGGGAGCGCCTGCGCACGGTCCCCAGAGGTGGGGCCCAGGGTGGGGAGGGCGTGAGGAAGATCCATCACTGTAAAACTGTCCCCTGGGTATCTCCCCACAGAGACCTGAAAATGGGGTCCAGACAAGTACAGGCATGGCCCGCAAAGGGGGACCACCAGAATGTGGAGGCAGCCCCGGCAGCAGATGAGTGGGCACACCAGATGTGCCATGTCTTTTAGGAAAATCCTTTGATTGGGGGCTCGCACAACTCTTATCACCATCCATCCATCCATTGTGTCAAGCACATTTGTACATGTGTTGCCCTCATCATGCTCAACACA